TTTTTGTGTTGAATCCTTTTCTGGATCAAGGTAATGCTAGTTACTAGGAATGAGTTTAGCAGTGTGTTATGGTTTGAGTTTAGATGTCTTCTGAAAGCCTCATGCAGTCATGCGGTGGGCTTTTAGAGTTTATGATTGATTCATGGTCCAGTGCTGGGATTATGGGTGTGAGTGCTACACCCACACTGGGGAGGGCAGCTTTCATACAATATAAGGGAGGGAAAGAGGCTTGCCCCCTGCCTCACCTCCCTTTTTGCTCTTGTTGCTTTTGCTGTCTTCCACTGCCATGAACTGCTGCCCTCTGCTGTGTGCTACTCTGTCTTGGAGCCAGTCGAGTATGGACTGAAACCTCCACAGACTGTGAGCTAAATAAGCATTTCCTTCCTTAATTGTAGGTGTCAGGTGTCAGGTATTTTGTCTCAGCAATGAGAGAAAAGTAACCAAGATACAGTGCTCTTCTCTTTCAAATTCATTAATGAATTTGAGAGGTATTGGTGTTATGTCTTCCCTGAAGTTCTTATAGAATTTGCAAGTAAATCTAATGGTTGATTTTTTATTACTGTCTCAATTCCATTGCCTGTTCGTGGATTGTTTCAGGTTTTTCTATCTTCTTGATTCAATTTTGTTAATTTATATGTTTCTAATAATCCAGTCATTCTAGAATTCAAATATTGATTTGCAGAATTGATTCAAATTCTTCAAATTTGATTCTAGATTCTTCAAATATTGAAGTGAGTTTTTAAAAGTGGTTATTAATGATTTTCTGGATTTTAGTGGAGTCCATTGTGATTTCACCTTTTCCACTTTTAGTTGAATTGATATCGATCTTTTTGTTCCTTCTCTTCGTAAGTTTGGCTGAGGGTTTGTCTATTTTGTTTATTCTTTCAAAGAACTAGTTGTTCAATTCATTGATTCCTTGTATTTTTACTCTCAGTTTTATTAATTTTTACTCTGATCTTTGTAATTTTCTTCCTTTGCTATGTTTGGATTTAAATTATTGTTTTCAAGGATCTTGCAGTGCATAATTAGGTTCTTTATTTGGACTTATTTTTTTCTTTGGATGGGAGTATTCACAGCTATAAATTTTCCTCCTAGGGCTGTTTTCATTATGTTCTATAGGTTCTGGTATTTGTACTGGCATTAGCACTTGATTCTAGGAACCATTTAATTTCTTCCTTGATTTCTTCCACGACCCACTGGTTATTCAAGAGTGTATTGTTTAATCTTCATGTGTTTGCATCATTGTGTTAACAATTTCATCCTTTTATCAATACTCTACACAGACTATAATATACTGCTACTGACAGGTAGATTGAGAGGGGAAGAGAGAGAAGGAAAACAGTAGAAAAAGGTAGGGCTAAGTCAGTAGGAAGAAGAAAAAAAAAAAGAAAAATATCAGTAGATAAAAACAAGACAGGAGATCAGCCCCTGCTTAAATTACTTTACTGGCTGAGGTAAAGGGTTAGTGTAGAGTGAGTCTGAGAAAATATTTGTGACTGTAGGAGAATGGAAGCAGAGGGAAGGAAGTACAATTGGAGATTGAGTGAAGCTATGAGAATGCTACAGCCTATTAATGCATTCATAATTAGCTTATATTTTGATCTTCTGTACACAGTGTTGGTGAGGGTTATCCTAACTTGCTTAAGAAAAATAGTAAATTAAAGTACTGGTTAATTTTTATTCTCCTTTGCACATATACAGACATCTCCTATATCTATGCTAGGTGAAATGGGGAAAGGATAAGAGGGAAAATAAAGGTATAAGAAAGAGAGGAAGAGAGAAGAAAAAGAAGATAGAGACAAAAAGCAGGAAAAAAAAACCACCACCATAAAAGCCCACACACAGTTGCAAAAACACAAAATTGAAAGATTCTCACAGTACTAGAAATATTGCAGTCTGAGTTCAACTGTAGGTCACCAAACTGCCCTGTCCCTATGATTTGCTCAATTGCCTGCCTTTGAGCAAGGAGGTTGGCTTATCCAGATGGCCCTGTGAGCCTGCCTCCCCACTGCAAGCCAAGTTCTGGGTGTGGCTAATTGTAGGGCTTTGCTTCTGTTACTAGATGCAATCCCCTCAGTTAGTTCAGGAGGAGAGTGTGCAGTGTAATTGGCCGAGCACACAGTTCTCCACTGACTTCTATCAGGGCACTCTCAGTCCCTGCTCCTTTGCCTAGAAGGCAAATCTCACAGCTGTCTCTGTGTTCTCCCTGCACAAGCCTTCAACATAGCACATCTCCAGATGTCCTTTGGCCTGGGTGTCACTCTAGCTCTTCACCTACAGCCCTTCCTCATTCCCTCTCCCAAAAGAATCACTCTCTGACCTGCAAACTTGGTAGAGCCTCAGGTCCTGCTGCATTCAGCAGCCCCCAGCAGAGGGTGTTTGGGACACCCATGTAGGCTCTTGATGATGGTTGGTGGGTAGCACATATGCTTTTTTTTTTTTAATGTGCTAGTCTGAAAACATCTTGCTCTCTGTGCTCCTTTTCATAAAAGTGTTCAGAGCCTATTCCAGTGACTGATGTTCAGGTTCCCTCTCTTGGGGAACTTTGACCCTTTCTCAAGACAGCATTATGCCAGACCTGGGGCACAAGGGGTGCCACAGTCCACAAGTGCTCTAAGCTTTCCTTCTAAATTTCCCTCAGACTATGTTGGATCCAGTGAAGTTTCCCTTCCACTTGCCTTCCTGCATCTGGCCCTCTGTACTGCCCTTGACTCAGTGTACTTGCATCAGTGTACTTTCTCCAATGGGCGTGTGGGAGCCTCCCTCCCTTGTTGCTGCCACTAAGTCAGCCATGATTATCTCTCTACATTTCCCATATTTCAGAAGAGCATGGAGGTGTTGCTCAGCTGGGACCCTCTCCTTCCTTTCTTCTTCCATTGCTCTATGGCTGTCCTCGTTTTTTACTTTAAAAGCTAAAAATGACACATCCAACTAGCAATCACACAACATGAGCATTAAGTACAAAAGCCAAGTCCAAATGTATAATGTGAGGTGAAGTTCTGTTAAGTATAAAACCTATAAATTTGAGCTCTATAATCCACCAGAAATATATGGCAATTATAAATATCTCTATATACAATATCTGAGCACTGAAAACATGAACTAAAACTGATAGAAATGAAGAGAGAAATCAACGGTCCAACAATAATAGTGGAACTTTCAATAACCCACTTACAATAATAAATAGAACAACTAGCAGATCAACAAAGAAATAGAAAATTTGACTACTAAAACCCAACTAGATCTAACAGACAAGCTATAGAATGCTCCAATCAACAACAACAAATATACATTCTTCTCAAGTACAGACAGAATACTATCCAAAGTAGACAATGTGTGTCCACAAAATAAACTTCAATAAATTTTGAAAAGCAGAAATGATACTTTATGTTTCCCAACTACAGTGGAATGAAATAAAAAATAAGAAATGAAAGAAAGTATTAGAGAAATACCACAAATATCCAGAAATTAAGTGGTATGACCCTAAATAGTTATCATGATCAAAAAATAAATCAAGTCAGGTGTGGTAGTGCATGCTTATAATTCCAGTACTCATGAGGCAGAGGCAGGAGAACTGCCATGAGCTCAAGGCCCACCTGAACTATATAGAGACCCTGTCTCAAAAAAACAGAAAAGAAAAAATTAAAGACAGTCTGAAAATACTTTGTGATGAATTTAAACTATTATGGCTTGCATCTAGATGTCCCCCCAAAGCCTTATGCAGTCATAGGTGGGGCTTTTCAGACATGGCTGGATCTAGAGTTTGTGATGCTCGGATTAAATGTGTGATGCTGGGACCAAGGATACATGATTATTAAATTAGTCCAGTGATTGGTGTGGCATAGTTCTGGGAGTCAAAAATGGTAAGGCCCTCCCTGGGTTTGAGTGCTACTTGCCCTTAGGATACCTGCCCTGGATGGGGTATAAGGGACAAAAAGAGTGTCATTGCTCATCGCTCGTCTCTGGCTGGCTCACTACTTCACTGCTTGCTGTCTCCTGCTCTGCTGCTCTCTGCCTGCCATGAACTGCTTCTCCTCTGTGATGCCCTCTGCCATGCTGCCCTGCCTTGGAGGCAACCAACTGTGAACTGAAACCTCTCCAAACTGTGAGCTACATAAACCTTTCCTCCTTTAACTTTGGGTGTGGAGTATTTTGTCTCAGCAATGAGAAAAGTAACCAAGAAAAAAACAAAGACACAACACATCCAATTTTATGAGATGCAGTAAACCAATACTAAGAGGAAATTTATGCCTGCAAATGTCTGTATTAATAAAAAAGAAAGATTTCAAATTAATGAATTAATTTCTACCTTTAAAAATAGGAAGAGTAAAATGAAATTTAAATCAAACAAAAAGAAAGAATGATAGAGAGAAAATTAATTCAACAGAGAATCAATCAAACCAAAAGCTGGATTTTTTAAAAGCGTGACACACTTTTGATTGGATTGACCAAGAGAAAAAGTGAGAAGATTTAAATTACTAGTATCAGATGGTAGAACTTTACTACTGACTTTGAAGTTTTTTTTTCAAATTGTAAGAGAATACCATGAGAAGTTATATGTAATTAAATTATATAATTTAGATGAAATAAACAAATCTAGAACAATACAAACTATCATACTAGCCCAAGAGTTTAAGCAATCTAAATAGAGTTATAAAAGCAAAAAGAATGAATTAACAATATATTACAAAATTCTACTTGCTAAACATAGTCCAGCTCAGATCACTTCACTGCTGAATCCTACCAAATAAAGAATTAATACCATCTCTACAAAATCTCTTCTAAAAAATATAAAAGGGAACACTTTCATATTCTATAATGCTAACATGACTTTGACCACAGGAAAGAGCCCGTGTGTGTTGTTGAAGGTGCATATTGTTCAAATTCCCTCAACTCCACCCCAGTCCCAACCCAGTTTAAAATTATTTGTCTGCCCTCCCATATTCATTGCAAAACTATTCACAATAGCCAAGGTATGGAATCAATCTAAGAGTCCATCAACAGATTAAAGGAGAAAGAAAATGTGATGTATACAGAATGGAATAGTACTATTTAGTCATAAAGATGGTTGAATCCTGCCATTTGTGGCAACATGGATGGACCTGGACAACTGAATTAATCCAGGCACAGAAAGACGCATGCCATATGACTTTGCTCACACAGAGAATTGTTCAAAGTTGAGCTCTAGAAGTAGAAAGAGAAATAATGGTTACCAGAGGATGGGAGGATAACAGAGAGAGAAGGATGGAAAACAGTTACTTAACAAGCACAAAGTCACAGCCATGGGAGGAATCACCTCTGATGTTCTATTACACAGAAGAATGATCATAGTCATCAATAATATATTGTATGACTTAAATTAAAACAAATTTGTTTTTGAGACAGGGTCTCAGTATGTAGTTTGGTCTGGCCTCAGACTGTTTAGACCAGGCTGGCTTCAAATGCACTCAAACACATGGTAATCCTCCTGCTTCAGCCTCCCAAGTACTGGGATCACAGGTATGCACCACCACACCCAGAGAAACCGAAGATTTTGAATGTGTGATCACAAAGAAATAATAAATGTTTGAGATGATGATGGATAACCTAATGAGATGGATAACCTAACTATTGAGATGATGGATAACTTAATTATCCTGAGTTGATCATTACATAATATGTAAATGTACTGAAACATCACAAGTACCCCATGAAGATGTACAATTACCTTTTAATTAAGAAAAAATAATTTTAAAATAAAATAATATAATAATTCATCAATATATTGAAAAGCACAGTGAATTTGTCTCTCTCTACATTTGACCTAATGGAAAGCTAAGTTACAAAAGAAACTTACCCCTGGGAAATCTGAGCTGTCGTACAAACCTAGAACCCCTGCAGACTGTTAAGTTTAGAAATAGAGGTAGTTTATGTATTGGCTTCATTTGAACCTAATAGAGGAGACAGCTCTGAAGCCTCTCAACCTGAAGCACAGATTTCATCCACCCACACCTCACCCTGTGTAAAGTTGAGGCCTGAAACTCCATCAGTGGTGCCAGCTGCAAAACTGTAGCCCAATGCTGGTTTGCATGTTTTTGCCTAGAGGAAAGATTTTAAAAAGAAAGAAAAACATGTCAGTTATAGGGCAAGTAAGTAACGAGAACACTCCCTTCCCTCGGCCCTGTGGCAGGATCAGTGTGACTCAGCGATCCTTACCGTATGTGTAGAATTGAGCCAGACTGTCACATCTGTCATATTCACCCACTGGTGAGCTGAAGCCACTGGTCCAGTCACCTCCTGGTAGGCAGAGGCATACAGTTCCTAGAAAACCCACACAGGCTTACTGTCCTGAGCAAAACAGCTCAGGCTAATACACCAGCGGTACCCAGAAAGCACCAATTTGGAAAACATTTTTCAGCAACAAGCTACCTCTGTTTCTCCAAGCTGCTTGGAAACAGCCACCATCTGTGTGGTTCTCTCAAATGAACTCAGTGGCATCCCAGAGGCTTGAAGGCTCCAACCCTGTGACCCATGTGAATGCCTCACAGGCATGAAATTCTAGCAATACAGGCTGTGACACAAAAGGGCCCAAGCTCACTTGAACGATGGTCCAGAAAACATAAGATTAGGAAGGTTGTGCCTAGCTACGTTGCTTGCCAGAATGCAAGTGCATCCTCAGATAGCATGCGGACTGAGTTCTCCCGGGCAGCTCCTTGGCTCCTCCAACAGGACAGGGCAGGCGCCACATGATGGACTGAAAGACTTCAGCCCCTATTTAAACTGCATCAGCTACCCCTCCTTCAATACTCTCTCTGGTGGCTTTGCTTTTATTTTTTAATATGGCCAGTTGATGCTTTTTTTAATCTTATGGGAAAAGTTACTCAAAACATACTTGGAGTGTCTGTGTTTATTGATCCTGCTTCAGCCTGACAAGCGGTTCCTTTCCGCTCTGTCCTCCTTTCTCTCTCTACAGCCACATCTAAGCCATGAGGCTGGGCTTTCGGGAGCACAAGCAGCTGCCGGCCTCTGCTAAGGACAAGGGAAGCAGCACCTTGCTGAGAAGAGAATCCACACTATGGGGCAAATCTCTGTCTTCCAGGCCCAGGGTGATAACAAGATTTCCAACACCAAAGTGCATCACGGGCACATACCCTAAAAAGAATCTGTTAATTTAGAATAATGCACTGATAACAACACAGTAATTGAAAAGAAACTTCAGCAGTAGGCGGTTGCTGCCACCAATTTCATGTCTGATGTTTTTAAAGGCTCTTTTGTTCTTCTCTAATTGCTCCTGAAGCATTTCAGAACTCTGGGAATAAATTATTTACTTACACACACACAGGCAGACAGATGGGGAAAGGGAGAGAGAGAGACAGAGACAGAGACAGACAGAGAGAAAGAAAAACAGGCAGAGAGAGGAAGGAGTATGGTGTAAACATAGGAATTTAATCCTCTCTTTCAGGGCCATGTCAGCTGGAGGTCACCCTTTCTTCATCTTTCCCTTGGAAATCTGTCTCCATAGAAGCGATAAAAAGCATAAGTGCAAAATAAAAGATAAAATCTTGGAGAGGGAGGAGGAAGAATAGCTCCTGGTGATGTCACTGCAGTCCATATTCTCTCCTCACATTGTTTTAAAGTAAAGATGGCTGATCTTTGCCTGTAGAAGACTCAGAACTCACTGCAGTCGAAGTTGAGAGAACAGCAACCCACAGCTTTGTCATCAAAGGATGCTTTCAGAAAAGGTCGGGTGATTTGGGGCAGGCAAAAATCCAAGAGATTTCCAAGAATTTGGATCAGTCTGCTCATATCTGATGCCACCTAAATTGAAAACCTTACAATCTGTTTTCGTCTGTCTGAGGCAAGCACTCTGGCTTTCCCAACATTCTAAAATGCAATGTTTTCTTGTGACTTGGTTTTCAATGTACTTCGTATAAGAAGTCAGACCCAGTCAGTGAGAGACAGTCTCCGTGTGGTTCCTCGAGGCAATCTGACATCTTCCAGACTTCCCGGCAGCCTGAGCCCTTGCTGTGTTCCTTGCAGTTATCAACTTCCAAATGAATAACGTCAGTGGATTTTAAAGAACAGTTTTAAATGAAGACGAAATGAGCAGGGCCCACGGCTTACCTTTGCTCTCTGGTATAAGGTCTGTCCTATAATTTGTGTGCTGTCAAGCATATCTTGCCCAGGTCCCTGAGCCATGCACATGATAGGCTGAAACAAAATGACACGAGATGCATTCTTAGTGAAATGATGATTTTTTTTTAAGTAATGGGGAATTACAACTGGATGTAAGCAAATAGGTTTTGAGGCTATCATCTAGCATTTCTTTTTTAGATAGTCTCTCAATTTAAAGACTGGAATAAACAAGATCAAACTGAAACAGTGAATGCTTTTAGAAAGCATTTCAACAATTTACTTTTAAAAATTAGGAAATTGAGGTCTGGTGGGTTAAAACAGATGCTGCAGATCATACACGTAGCTAATAGTTAAGTCTGGAAACCAAGGCTTTCCTTTGGTTGTACATCTTTCTACTGCTTATTCTTGCCTATGAGTCTTGCTCATGATCTTCTTAAATTGAAACTCAGTTAAAATCATATTGGAACAAAATTTGGGCCTTCTGGAAAAAAAATTTTGGATTGATCACATACCTAAATATTATAAATGGGATCAAAAATACTAATAGAAAACATAGCTAAATGCATTTTATTGTCTGAGTATATGGAATATCCTTCAAATATAACAAAAAGGACAGGCTTAGTAAATTTGACAGCTTAAAGATTAATATGTACATATGGAGAGGGAGCATTAAATTCAATAAGAAAACTGAATTTTATGCACCCAAAGGATGCATAGATTCTTGAACCCCCATGTTTATTGTAGCACTATTCATAATATCTAAGAAAAGAAATCAACCAAGATATCCATCAGTGGATACATTGATAAAGAAAATGTAGAGGCACGTAGACCAGTGTATATTGAGGACAACACATTTGCGAAATCAGTGATAAATTATTGAAAACCCAAACATGAAGTATTCATGAGATACAGAAGTGAAGCTTTCTTGTGCTGTAATTACCTACCCCACCAATGGGACAGGTGCTATTGGCATTGTCACAAGACTCTCCCGTGTTGACGCAGTGTGGGCCGAGAATGTTAGGGGACACATCTCCTAGGGCTGATGATGCAAAGGCTGCTACAAAGGGCCCCTGCCAAAAGAAACATCCCAGTGCTTTTATTCTTTCTTAAGTCCTATAATGACTTCCATTTAAAGTGCAAACACTACTCAAATCATTTGCAGACAATAGAAAGAGCATATAAAATATTCTGAGAACTTTTTTTTATAAAAAAAAGTTCTGATACTGGGGATCAAACTCAGGACCTTGCATTTGCCAGACAGGCACTTCATTTCTTTATTTCTGAAATGGCTCACACTGTGGTCAATATACCTATTATGACTGAAAATACTCCAATTATCAACAAAGCCATTTCAGGGATCACTATTAATTTCAAATTTACAACGTAAGTCTGATGGATTAAGGTTGTCTCTGTCTTAGGCTTTGTTATGATTGGAGCTTGTATGCCACCCTCCTGGCAGTTCCTGTGTTGAAGGTTGGGTCTCTTTCTGCAGGCCCTATTAGGAAGCAGTGGAAACTAGGAGGTGGCGCCCCTTTGGAGGAAGTAAGTTATTGGAGGTATGCCCTTAAGGAGCATACTGGACCGCAGCCTCTTCTCTCTTTTCTCTTCCCAGCCACCATAATATGAACAGCTTTACTCCACCACACTCTCCCAATACAGTGTTCCGCCTTGCTTGCCTCAAGCCCAAAGCAAAGGGGCCAAGCAACCATGAAATGAAACCAAATCTTTTCTTCTTTTCAGTTGGTTTATCTCAAGTATTTTGTTACTGTGATGAAATGCTGTCTGACACAGGGTTGATTACAGGAAAATAGAATTAGGTATTTGGAAGTAATTCCATCACTAAAAGGAAAACCTGGACCAGTAAGAAAGACTCATCACCTATCCTTCTTCAGGTTTTTTATACCAATAAGAAGGTTCTTGATACATTTATAGCTCTGAAAACAAAGTTAGCATCAAGACAGCTTATCATATTTTCAGCTTGATCAAAAACTGTTGTACACAAAAATCTTAAACTTGCTCTTCCTTTTGCGAGTGATGGCAACTTTATGAAGCCATAAATAGTATCTGCCACAAAAAGCTAATGGTTTTTTAAACATTTTTTTAAATTCTTATTAGGGAGAATGGCAAATTCTTTCTATCCATGCATACGTGTGATCCATAATGACACTTTATTCTAGAAATCTAAATCAAGTATTCTGAACAATGCATGAATGGTGGCACTCAATGAATCAGGAATGTAACTTTCAATGACATTAATTCTCACCTGGCCAGGCAGATATCCTCTGTTTTTCTCCTGCTCAAAAAGGTAAGATGCATAGCCCACATTATCACTATTTACAAGGTGGTTGGTGTTATTCATGCTGACTGGGTGGATGCTAAACCAGCTGTAAAAGAGGAAGAAGCCCTAAGTTAATCAAGAGAACCGTAGAACTATGACCAAAAAATGAGCACTGAGAACTTGAATTTTCTCCTGGAAAAAGTACTTTAAACATTAAGCAGTCCACATTTATACTGTCTCACTGTTAATGAGCTTAAATTATAAATAATGTACTCAAGAAATCTGCTCATTTTAAAAATATAGCACTCCCTTTTCATGAATATTTCATTGTTGTCATCCCATCATAAGCTTCTAACAACTGCCAAGACTGGTCAGTTACCAGATGATTTACCTAAATAGCTGCATAGATGTAGACTTTGTACTTCAAGACAGACACAAAGATAATAATTGTTCAAAACAATCCATTCCAACTCAATAGACATTTTACTGAAGGTCAGCTAGATGCCAAACACAAATAAATGGTGGTTTTCTCTTTTTAGAATCTCCCAGAAGACAGAGATATGAATAAATGGCCTTAATGTAGTGTGAAAAATGGTATAAAGAAATAAACACAAAGTGCTTGGAGACCACAGACAATCACCAATTAATTCTTAAGCACATTATAGAGGAAGGTAACCGAAGAGTAAATACATGGGAACGTGGAAGAGGGTGTTATGCATAATTCAATATATGCTTATGCATAGTAATTCTTTGTTTAAGCACAGAGCTATACAATTTACAAATTGATCTCGTGGGCCAGGGATATAGCTCAGCAGTATAAGTGCTCGCCTGGCAAGCCTGAGATCATGAGTTTGATTCCCAGTACCAAAAGAAAAAAAAAAAAATTGATCTCACAGTTGTTACTTTATTTGAGCTTCACAACAACCCTGATGGGTTGTTTTATCTTCATATTCATAGATGACACACAGAATCAAAAGAATAGCCCATGTGTCAAAGAAGCTTAGGACTGAAGTCTGTGTCTCAAGACCCCATGTCCACTGGCCTTTATAGCATCCACCCACCATGCAGGTAGAAAAGGTATTTACACAATGGAAGACAATAAAGCAGATTAACTGGAATGATCAAGGAAAGAGAGACATCAGTCCTTGAAGATTCAGGTTAATTTAGAATTTTTAAAAGGGTTTTGTTGATTCAGTGCTTTCCTGAAAAATTTTTAACCATTTTAGCTTATGTTCCTACCTAAGTAATATACTGTACAAAAATAAATAGTTGCTTCATGATTAGGAAGGTTTTAGGATTTCCAAGTCAGCTTTCAGGATTCAGTTCTCTTTGCCTAATGCAGCAGTAGATGTAGGTCAGAGGTGCTCAACTCAAAGCCAGAGCGGGCTGGAAGGCAACAGAGTGAGTTAAGCTGGTCAGTACAACAGGGACGAATGCAGTCTGTGGAGGCATTTGGAGGAGCTAAAAGCTGCAGGCTCTACTCAGGTCCAGACAGTGTTGCCTTTCAGGAATGCAAGCCAGTGCTGCCAGATATTCCAGCGCTTCCAATTCTTTTCCAAAAGTGCCATAGACCCACATTTATGTATGTGTATGTGTATGTGTTTGCATTTGTGTTTGTGTGTCCGTGTCTGTGTCTGTGTGTCTGTGTGTTGAGTTTAAATTTTTTCAAGGCCCAGGGATATAGCTTGACAGCACAGCACCTTCCTGGCAAGTGTAAGGTCCTGAGTTCGATTCCCAGTACCAAAAAAATGAAAATAAAATACAATAAAGTCCTTCAAGAATGTCATGGAGACAAAAGTAGAATTACTACATATTAAGAAACAGTACAGAGAGCAAATAAACGTAGTTTGTGCACTGTGTTTGAATTCTGATTCAAACAAAATAACTATTAAAAGGAACGTACAGACATGGAGGGGAAGGAAAGATGGGGGAAGGAGATGAAAAAAGAATTAGGATGTGTAATGTATATGTACCCACTCTACATGGAGAATGTAATCATTATGTGCTATAAACATGTACTAATAAAAATAAATATTTTTAAAGAATAAAAAGGCTATTTAATACATATAATTCATGGGAAACCGAACACAGATTAGCATTAGAACCTTTTAATAAATGATTTTTCATTTGATTGGTTGTGATAATGATCTGTGATTATAATTTTTTAAAACAGGAATTATTTATCTGATAAAGATACACACTGAAAATTTATATTTTTATGAGTGAAATGTATGATATCTGCCACTTGCTTGGAAAGACTCTAGCAAAATGAAAGGAAGGGATTAAACACAGTGTTAGAGTTTCGTGAACTATGTAGAAGCTTGATGATAGTTACAGAGAGAATCATCACATTAGTAACTCTAAAATAGTATGTATTTGAAATTTTTCATAATAGTGGACATTTATTTCAAATTTTTTGAAGCAGTAATACACCTAAAGTTCAGGCTGAAAATAAGCCAAGCTCATCCTCTATAAGTCACTTGCAAGGATTTTTTCTTAGTTCTAAATAAATTCTATTCGATTAATAGGATAGGGTCAGACCTGGTTACACTGTTTCAGGAAGAGAATTCCTACTGGTTATCACAGCATCAACAGATCCAGCTCTCATGACAAACCTTCTGGCACCATCATAGTAAATGGGGAAAAGTTGAAAGCTTTCTCTCTAAAGTCCAGAATAAGATAAAGATGAACATGATCACCATGCCTGTTAAGTACAGTACTCAAAATATTAGCCAGAGCAATTGGGCATGAGAAAAAAAATTAAAGGGATACATACAGGAAGGGAAGCTGTCAAATTACTATTTGCAGATGACACGATCCTTTACATGGAAGACCCTGTTTGCACCTTTTAAATGGTAATGTTTATTTTGTGTGATTGAATATTGTGTTTAACTTTTATTTGTACAGGGGCTCACAGCTAAGAGTTTGCCTTACATCTCAGAGGAGACTTGGAACTTGGACTTTTCAGCAATGCTGAAACTTTGGCAACTCTTACAGATGGACTAAAATGTCTTTTGCATAAAGGAATGTATGTGAGTTTTGGAGGGGCCAGGGATAGAATGTTATGGCTTGTGTCTAGTTGTCCCCCCAAAGCCTCATGCAGTCATGGAGCGGGCAATGCTGGGATTATCAGTGTGAGTGCTAATCTCTTTCTTGGTATTTTCCCTAAAGAAATAAAGACATCCTACTACAGTGATATATGATACCCATGTGTATAACAGCACAACTCGTAATAACTAAATCTTGGAAGCAGCCATTCAGCCCATCAACAAATGAATAGATAAAGAAAGTGGTGCATA